CGTCAGTGTTTTAATCGTTTCAACTTTTTAGGAGAGTACAGGTATTGATCCGGCGTTTTGAGCGAGTTCCCGCAAAATGGCTCAAAACGCTAGCTCGACATCTGTTCCTTTTTTACTCCTTTCCCCGCCCAGAACGTTGACGCAAAGTATGAACGCAGCCACACTCGGGCCATGCTTTAACTTTTGTGCGAGAGCGATAGAAAAAATTCACATATCCGTGCGCTTATGCCTATTTGTTAGGTGATTCCCATAGCCCAAAAGCCAAAAAATAGCTTATATGGACATTTACTCATGATATTTTTGAGCATCGGCATCTTATCGATGAGAAGTGGAATGCTGATACCGCCTCGAAAAAAGGAGGACATCCTTCATATTTTTGGTACCCGTTCAACAGTGATTTAACCTGTCCTTAATATTCTATATCTCAAACTAGGCGAAATCGGAATTCTCACCTTCGGTGGTTCATTAGTGGTCGGCTGGACCTTCGGCTTACGTCCACGGGTTCTGGGTGTTCTAGGTTCAACAGCTTCCGGTGTTTTAGGAGAGCTTTGTTCTTCCTGGTCCTTGTCCGAAGTTTCCATTTCTTCTTCTTGCTTTTCTTCATGCTTAAAAATAAATACTGCAGAGTTAGGAATCTTTTTACGCGAGCGAAAGTACAATGGGAGGATACAAGGGGGGGGGGCTCCAGGTCTGTCTAGTAAGCGGGAGTTCCACGCCATTCCCTGATTCTTCTAAAGACATGGTCCACTTTCATTTGATGTTCACGCCTTGCTCGGATATGGGAGTCTCGTTCGCACCAGAAAAGATTTCTACCTTAGCAACTAAAAAATTCGAGAGGGAAGCGCGACCAGCTCTTGGCGAGGCCACGGTCCCAACCCATCAAAACGCACATTTTCATATGCAAAGGCTTCCTGATGGTGCGGTTGTCCCGTTACTGGCTCCCTACATTTCGAATGGTGAGAGTTAGGTGATAAGGAAAAAGAGCTAATACCAGTAAATTCCATCACAGGTAATAAGTGGAAATATAAAGGAATACGAAGTTGAAAGGACATTTACCTTCTTAGTGTCCTTCACCTCACGCTCCTCATGGGAGATATACTCGGTAGACACAACAGTGACCACAACGTGCTCTTTCATGACATCACCGCCTTTTCGTTCCTCGACGGTGTAACTCGTTCTGTGCTCTTCTTTGAATGTATCTCCAGTTTCTCCCGTTACGTAAGTTGTTTTTTCAACGTCTTCAACAGAACCGCTTAGGGTTCCGGGTTCGTCGGCTCCTCCAGATGAAGTATCTTCTTCTTGTACTTCACTTTCTGTCTTTTCAACGTCAGGTTGCTGTTCAGCAGAAATAGTCGTCTAGAAAACGTTGCGTGTCAAGCCAATAAAACGAAACGAAATGCAGGGCAGTTTGGCAAGGATAGGGGGGGGCATTTTGCTACTTCCCATCGGCGTGTAGCATTATAAACTCACTAAACTATAGAGCTACTTCATGAGCTTACAAAAGTACAAGAGTGATAGGTCTTGCCACGGTGGCTCGATTAGCTTACTCCAGCTTCACAAGAGTTCACAGATTTCACCAGTGAACCTGTGATCTATAAACCGGAACTAGTGAAGCAGCGAAATTGCAAGCACTCTCCCCCCTCGTCGCCACACTGCGCCCCAAAACTAAATGCAAACCGAACCATCTCTTCCGTATTATCATCGTATGCTTCAATAGCAGCTTCTGACTCAGCTTCGGTTGTTTCCATTTCATGCTGTCGTTGCTGAGAATCTATTTCTGATTGCCGCTCTTCGTAAACCACAGCAGGCCGATGTTCTTTAGAATTAGTAGAATCCGTTTCTGCCTGTTGTTCCTGGAACATACGATGTGACATGTTTGGAGAAACCAACTAGGTAAGAGAGGTTGATGAAGAACTACTAACCGCGGCAAAAACCACTTCCGCGCTATCGCCGCCGCCTTGATGCTCTATAGACGTTTCAACGACCGTCTCAGTTGCAAAAGAGTCCTGTTTCTGAAAAATACACAATAAATAAAATATAAGCTCGCTAAAGCTAACAAAATCCGAGCCATATTGAGAAGCTTCTGAAGCCGTCTAGTTTCAAGGCAAGGATAAACCCCATCACGAGGCATGTAATTAGTGGCTCTTCGTTGGACTGATTTTCCGGGGTGAAATCTATACGGTACCCGATCTCGAATACGACCCCAGTTTTCAATTCTTCAACCTCTAGCCTTGCCTTCCTGTCTTCAGGTATTTCACAGAAAAGGGCGGATGAACACACGGTATATAGTGCATAAAGCTGGATATAGCGGAACGTGAAGCCCATTTACAGCCTCGTTTACT